CGAGGGCCTATAGGGTGAACCCTAAACCCTAAACCCTAAACCCTAAACCCTAAACCCTAAACCCTAAACCCTAAACCCTAAACCCTAAACCCCAAATTGAGGGCTTTGGGGTTGGAGTTGAGAGAGTAGGGCCCGAGCTTCAACAAGCACGTAAGGTTGCAGCAAGCTCACTGACCCAACTTGCAGTAGCAGGACTTGGCTTAGGGTTTAGGGTTTAAGGGTTAAGGGTTAAGGGTTTAGGGTTTAGGGTTTAGGGTTTAGGGTTTAAGAAAGGGCACAGGCCCAACGAGTCTCATCCCGTCATGCTCGGAACTCGACAGCCCAGACCCCTAAACCCTAAACCCCAAACCCTACACTCCTCTGTCCCAACCTTCCTAACCCCTAAGCCCTAAACCCCAAGGCACCAGCTTATCCACTCAACGGAATCACGAAGGATTTAGGGATCAGAGAATATTAGGGCACAAGAGCAGGCTAGAAATAAAAAGGGTCTTTGGTTTAAGAGGGCTTAGAAGGGAACCTGACCACTAAAACAAGGGAATAACGGCCTACTCCGTGCCCTAGCCCTAAACCCAAAAAAACCTTTAAGCTTTTAAACCCTAAACCCTAAACCCTAAACCCTAAACCCTAAACCCTAAACCCTAAACCCTAAACCCTAAACCCTAAGACCCGGAGTCCTCGTTTGGGCTTCCGGAAAATCCTTGCTAACATAAACCGGGTTCTGGAGGGCTCGTCTAGGTTCCTGAGCGCTCTCCTGAGTGGGCTTAGGGTTTAGGTTTCAGGGGTTTAGGCTTTAGGGCTTAGGGTTAGGGTTTGGGGTTTAGGGTTTCGGGTTAAAGTTACATCCTAAACCCTACTACGCCCTAAACCCTAAACCCTAAACCCTAAACCCTAAACCCTAAACCCTAAACCCTAAACCCTAAACCCTAAATCCAAACTCCCGCAAGCCTTGCCGCCGCATCGTCGAGGCCGCAGTCGAAAGCCCGAAGGCGGTCCACGCGCACGCTGAAGTCGCCTGGGTTTGGGGTGTAAGGTTTAGGGTTTAGGGTGTAGGGTGTAGGGTTTAGGGGTTTAGGGTTTAGGGTGTAGGGTTTGGGGTTTAAGGTTTAGGGTTTATAGGGTTTATGGTTTGTGGTCTGGGCTGGGATTTAAGCGGTTTCGGAGAGGTTTCCGGGGGGGCTTTGGGGTTGAAGGGGGTTTTTGAGGGTTTTGGGAGCTTTGTTGTTTTTTTTTTGGGGGGGGGGGGGGCTGGGGGGGTCTTTTGGGGTGTCGGGGATTTGGGGGGCTTTTGGGGCTTTTGGGGGTTTTGGGGGTTTTGGGGGTTTTGGGGGTTTTGGGGGTTTTGGGTCCTTTGGGGGTTTTGGTTTGGGGGTTTAGGGTTGCAGGGGCTTGGCGTTTAGGGTTTGGAGCATTTGGAGCTTTTGTTTTCCGAAGTATGATAAGCTTTGCATCTGAAGTCTTATAGGCTCTTATAGTGTTTCAGTGGATTGAGGTTTATACGAGTCTTACACGAGGTCTCATTGGGGCCTACAGATAGGGTTTCATCGGGTTTGAAGAGGAGTGTTATGGGGTGTGAGGAGGGGAGTGAGAGGATTAGGAGAGCCTCTTTACAGAATTGAAAGAAAGGATGGGATCCGAAGAGTGCTTTCACAGGGTTTAAGTTTAGGGTTTAGGGTCTAGGGTTTAGGGTTTAGGGTTTAGGGTTGAGGGTTGAGGGTTTAGGGTTTAGGGTTTAGGGTTTAGGGTCTAGGGTGTAGGGGTGCTAAAAAGGGTCCGGAGTCCAAGGTTTAAGCAGGGCTTTGGGCTGCGTTAGGCTTCTACATGCAGGCTTAGAATGTATAGCCTACGTCCCCAAAACAGCGTCCTTGAGAGGGCTCTTTCACATCTCTGAAAGTTCATAAGCCCCGTAGAGCCATCGAAAATACCCCAAAAGCCATCTGCCCCCTAAACCCCCCCCGAGTCTGAGGCCCTAATGCTCCGAAAGCCCACAGCCCTAAACCCTAAACCCTAAACCCCAAACCCGAAACCCGAAACCCGAAACCCAAAACCCAAAACCCAAAACCCAAAACCCTAAACCCTAAACCCTAAACCCACCCCTGCCGCCCCCACACTTGCGCCGGGTGGCGGAAGATGCCAAAAAGTACTTCCAAGCCCGAGGCGGACCAGATCACCTGAGGCGTGCGATTCTATAGAGGGGTTAGGGTTTAGGGTTTAGGGTTTAGGGTTTAGGGTTTTAAGGTTTAGGGCTTACTGCTTTAGTAAACTTACTGCGTGTTCAAGGAGACTGTGTTTGAACGAAACTAAGGCTATGAATCCTGAGCCCCAAGCAGCGCAGGGTGTAGGGTTCAAACGTGCCCTTAAACCCTACACCCTGACCCCTAAACCCTGAACCCTACACCCTGAACCCTAAACGCCCTAAACCCCAAACCCTAAACCCTAAACCTTAAACCCTAAACCCTAAACCCTGAACCCCGAGGTGAAAGCACTGCCCACCTTGGACACATCCACCTGGCTGAAGACCTGGGCCGCAGAGGGTGCAGATCTAGCTGGCTTACCTTCTAGCTGGCATAGGGTTTAGGGTTTAGGGTTTGGGGTTTGGGGTTTGGGGTTTGGGGTTTGGGGTTTAGGGTTTAGGGTTTAGTGTCTAGGGTCTAGGGTTGAGGGTTTAGGGTCTAGGGGTTAGGGGCTTTTAAGGGTTTTTTGGGGGCTTGATTAGGGTCTGGGGCTTAGGGTGTTTTAAAGGGTTGCTTTTAGGGTTGAGGGCTTCGGGTTTAGGGCTTCCTCATGTCGCGGCACCGTGCAGTTCTGTTGCCGTGTGTCGAATCCGCCTTACAACAAGATTGGATTTAGGGTTTAGGGTTTAGGGTGTAGGGTTGAGGGTTTAGGGGTTACGGTGTTTTTGTTCGTCTCTTTTAGGGTTTGGAGTTTGGAGTTTAGGGTTTGTAGCATGCGCTGGATTACTCTTGCTGCGGCTCTAACAGGGAGCTAGGCCCTAAAAAGTGCGTTAAGGGGAACTTTATTGGGCACCTGTGATCCATTTCGCTACCACGAAACGGTCAGGTTTCGTATCGCCCGAACCTTTGTGTTGGCACCCTCAACAACCCTTGAAAAACCCGAAGGCCAAAACCCCCGCCAAGCAGCGACAGAGCCGGCAGGGTAGCTGGCCAACCTCGTTGGGCAGCGCCAGGAAAAGCAAACCGCATCATGGGCAACAGGGTTTAGGGTTTAGGGTTGCCAGGGTGGCCAGGTTGCAGGGTTTCCAGGGTTTCCAGGGTTTCCAGGGTTTCCAGGGTTTCCAGGGTTTCCAGGGTGTTTAGGGTTTCTAGAACTTCTAGGGCTTATAGAACTTATAGAACTTACAGGGCTTATAGGGTTTATAGAACTTATAGGGTTTTATAGATAGGGTTTAGGGCAGCCAGGCAGCACTGCCCGCAGCTTCTCCAAGAACTGGCCAGCCTTCCATGCCTCATCTTTGAAGGAGGCCTCCCGGGCGAGAGGAGGGGAGGGGGGCATTTCAGGGAACAATGTTGGCAGTCGGCCCTGAAACGAAGCCCAAACCCCAAACCCTAAACCCTAAACTTTAAACCCTAAACCCAAAACCCTATACCCTAACCAGTAGTGTGTGTGTGTGTGTGTGAGAGAGAATCAGCTTACCAAAGGCTCCCGCAACCACCAGGAGCTCCCAGAGTAGAAAGCTTGGGTTCGTTGGCTTAGGGTTTAGGGGGTGAAGGGGGTTAGGGGGTCAGTCGGTCAGGGGGTTAGGGGTTGGGGGGTTCAGGGTTTAGGGTTTAGGGTTGTTTAGGGTTCAGGGCTTAGGGGGTTTGGGGGTTTAGGGTTTAGGACTTAGGGGGTTTGGGGGTTTAGGGTTTAGGACTTAGGGGGTTTAGGGTTTGGGGTCTAGGGCTTGTGGCTTGGCTCCCGGGGATTTAGGGTGAGAGCTGCCCCAAAACCCTCGGTAGAACTCGCTGAGTACCAAGTGAACCTTAGGGTTTGGGGTTTAGGGTTTGGGGTTTAGGGTTTGGGGTTTAGGGTTTCGGGTTTAGGGTTTCGGGTTTAGGGTCCAGGGGCCATCGAGTTTCGACGCGCCTCGCCGCGGTTTGGCAATCCTGAGACAGCCCCGCAAAATGTCTGCCCTCCAAGGCTACGCGCCCTCAACCCCAAACCTTAAACCCGAAACCTTAGACCCTAAACCCGAAACCCTAAAACCCTAAGAATGCGCACCCCAAACCCCTCAACTTGAACCGAAACCCCAAACACTAAACAACCTAAACCAAACAGCCTAACCCCAAAAAATGAGCACGAGTCCTAGTGACACTAAACCCTGAACCCCAAACCCTAAACAACCTAAGACCCCAAGCAGCCTAAACAACATAAACTCCAAACAACCTGCACCCCTACACCCCCGAAAAAACACTAGACCCAAGAACAACCATGAATTGAAAGCGGTACCCTTTTTGGTTTTAAAGGTGCTAATAAAGGGAAGCCAAAACCCAATAAAATAAGGAATAAGGGCCTGCTCTGGGTCCTAGTATCCCTAAACCCTCAGCCCGAAACCCTAAACACTAAACCCTAGGAACCCGAGCAACCCCAAAGCCTAAAGCCGAGGTTTGGAACACCAGCGAAGCCCAGACGCCGTAGAGCGTACTGCGCGGCAGCCCCACAGCGGCCAGCGAACGGCTGGGGTCTGGTGGGGCTTGGAGTGCCATGGCCCTCCGGACAGGGTTTGCCCCTAAAACCTAAACCCTAAACAGTTCTGGGGATTCAGGGTTTAGGGTTCAGGGTTTAGGGTTTGGGGTTGAGGGTTGAGGGTTTAGGGTTTCAGGACTTAAGGGTTTAGGGTTGAGGGCGTTTGGGACTTAGGGCCTTGTAGGCTTCCCAAAGGGTCCCTACAGCAACTGCTCAGGCACCGGTGTGACTAAACCCTAAACCCTAAATCCTTTTCGGTTCACGGCTCTGGGAAGAAGGCCTTTCATGTCTTAGGAAAGTGCGTGGCTGTAGGGTTTAGGGTTCGGGCAGGCCCTCTAAACCCTGAATCCTAACTGTGCAATGCCACGATGGTTTGGGGCTTAAGGTTCTAACCCGAGGCTATCCACCGCCCCCCCCCCCCCCCATAAACGCAAGAGCCTGAGCCCTGAGCTCTGAACAGCGAAGCTGCGCGTGAGTGAGCGCAGGTTTGCGCCGGCCGCGTGGCAGGTCAAACGGTTGGTGAGACACCGTGGCGTCTGCAAGGTTTCAAGATTTCGGGGAGTTGGGGCTTCGGACTTGCGGTTTAGGGGCGAAGCTAAGAATAAATAAGGTGTCAGGATTGTGTGTCATTGGTAGTTGTTAGATGCCGCAGGCGCTTTGGGTTTTTGGGTTCAAAATACCCCCAAAACCCTAAACTCCACACCATTAATAGTAAACCCTAAATGCCTAAACTTGAAACAAAGGACTCCGAAACTCAGGAGGGGTGTCGGTAGGCATGGAGTAGGACATGTATATGATATGTATATTACAAATCTATATGTATATGTGCATTTATATACACTCATATATATATATATATATATATATAAGAGAAATGTATATACATGTGTGTACATATACATATACATATACATATACATATACATATACATATACATATACACATACACATATATATATATATATATATACATATCGAGAGAGAGAGAGAGGGAGCGAGATATTAGATTGTTTATATTTTACTATATTCTTCTGTGGACATATATGCAGCCCGCATCGCCGAGGCAGCGTTGCTCCAAGCTGGGGCTTTGCTGACGATGCAAGGCAACGCCTGGGTGAGATTTGAAAAGCAAGATGTTTAGGGTTAGGGTTTAGGGTTTAGGGTTTGGGGTTTAGGGTTTAGGGTTTAGGGTTTAGGGTTTAGGGTTTGGGGTTTGGGGTTTGGGGTTTGGGGTTTAGGGTTTAGGGTTTAGGGTTTAGGGTTTAGGGTTTAGGGTTTAGGGTTTAGGGTTTAGGGTTTGGGGTGTAGGGTTGTAGGGTTGTGGGGTCGTGGGGTTGTAGGGTTGTGGGCTTGTGGGGTTGTAGCATACTTTGTCTGGGGGCGTGAGGTCCGTTCTGTGGGGCTTAGACGCATTGCTTGGGGTTCAGGATATATGATATCGGCTCCCTAAACCCTAAACCCAATATCTAAACCCTAAACCTAAATAGGCAAGTTCTGTTTCAAGCTTCAGGGCCGAACCCAGCCCAAACCCTATACGCCCGCAACCCTATGGGCCCCTTTAAAAGCCCTCGAAGGACCCCTTCAGAGGTGGGGAGTGTGGCCGCAGAAAGTCACAGAAGTGCAGAACCTGGAGGCAAGTTCGATTTTTTTGGGGCTTATAGGTGTTAACGCTTTCTGGCTATCGATGGCGTTAGGGCACCTTCCGGGCTTGTGGAGTTCTCCTTAGGATTTAGGGTTAGTGGCTGGGTTTGCAGACCTGAAGCCTTGACACGCTTTTTTGGCGCCAATGACCGGGATGGTTCTCCTTGCGAGCCGCAGCCGCTGCTGACCAGCACCATTGGAAGGTTTAAGGTTTATGGTTCAGATTTTTCGGGTCTTGAACATCTAATTGAGACGATGCGTGCTGCAGTGATGCACGGTGGGAACGACTTATGCTGAGGGCTGGCGAGCTGACGGACCAAGAGACTGCATGTGGCCCCCCAGCAATCCTTCCCATAAAAGAAACTCAATTTCACAGCGATGAATGCCTGGTGTTCTTATAATTCACTTTGGTCCGGCTATGGAGAGGCTGGAGGTATGGCGCCTTCTGCACCACGTTGCGCGATATTGCTGTACTAACAACCCATGCATGCAGCTCAGGTGGCACCTGGCATCTAAGGCGGACAAAAGGCACAACAGCCCAGCATTGGAGGCACAAAGCAGTATCTACTTAAGTACATGCTTACTCGGATCTGTGCCAGACATGCCGAGGGCTGCGTGCACTGCAAGTCCTAGCCAAAATCTCGAACATCCTGGCCCGGGCACAAGAGGGCACGGAAGATTGTCGGATGTGCCGTCTGTGCACACTTGGCCGTTCTCCCTCTTCAGGCAAGATAGCTACAACCATGCGCCTGCAACCTGGGGAATACTCTACGGGCTTCGGAATGTGTAAGATGCCGGGCTCTATAGGGTTCTGTTCGGAATGCTCTGGGGATTTGAGGCTTCAGGCGTTGTCATATGTAAGGCGCACATCAATGCAGGGGCTCGGGATCAAACTTGCTTGAGACACCATGGAGCAAGGCGGAGACAGAAAGGCCCGCAGGATCGTTCGACTGAAACGATGCAGCCTTTCAGGCGACCACCAAGAGCTGAATTCTCGCAACCCCGGAAGCCTAAGCCCTAAACCCTAAACCTTAGACCCTATACCCTATACCCTTAAATCCTAACCCTAAACCCTGACCCTAAACTGACGTAGGGCCCTTGCTTCCGACGAAAAGCTCATCAAAGGTTGGCGACCCTAGTACATCCCTCCATGGTATACTACCCTCGATGGTGCTGAGCTCTTGAGGGTTCATCCACCATAAACCCTAAACCCTAAACCCTAAACCCTAAACCCTAAACCCTGAACCCTAAACCCTAAACCCTAAACCCTAAACCCTAAACCCTGCAGAGTCAATCCTGGTAGGCCGCCTCCGTGTCAGGGATGCTTGGCTCCTCCTGGCTTCCACGGCGCCCCACCAGGCTGCGACGCAGGGCCTTCAGGGGACTCCTTACAACCTAAGCCGTTTAGGGTTTAGGGTTTAGGGTTTAGGGTTTAGGGTTTAGGGTTTAGGGTTTAGGGTTTAGGGTTTAGGGTGTAGAGTTTAGGAAACCAAGGCTTCTAAATCCTTACGAGCCCTGGGCTTCTGAAGACCCGAGCCTTCAAGCGAGCGTCTTATCAGCTACTGTGGAATGAGTTTCGTCCTCAGGCTTCACCCTAAACCCTAAACCCTAAACCCTGAACCCTAAACCCTAAACCCTAAACACCTAAACCCTAAACCCTCCTTTAAGTGTTTATTTAAGGCCTTCTTTGCGAGTCCTTTTGACTGGATGGCAGGCGGGGGCACCAAGACCTCCACAGGTACGTCCGGATCCTGGGCTCCCACACCGAGGCGTTTAAAAGGTTTAGGGTTACAAGGGTTTAGGCTTAGGGTTTAGGGTGTAGGGTTTAGGGTTGTGGGTTTCTGTACCAAGGCTTCTAGGAGGTAGAAGACGTTTCTGCAAGGCTTCTAGAGCGGCTTGGTAGCCACTTGAGCAGAAGCTACCATGATAGAATGGCATAGTGACACTACACTGGTATATGTTCCGATGAGGTGAGAACTGGCCCGCAGATGCTTACGGCAGCAGATGTTCTAGGATGGCCCTTAAAGCCCCCTAAAAATATTCTCTTAAACCCAAAAAGGGGAAATATTTAACATATCGCAAGGGCCTACCTTGTGTTTACAGCAGCTGTTGAACCGAAGCTCGAAGGCCAACTTCAAGACGCTCACGGGCACGGGACTGAGCTCAATGCTGGTCAGCCGGGTTGGCATGTTTTGCACCAATACCTCCTGACCGATTTCGAGCTTGCCAGCTAGTACCTGGCAGGGAGGGGGGGGATCTGGTTCTGATTGAAATCAGGGACCGATGAGAGTAATGTAATGACACTGAGACACTGGCTGTATTGAAAGTTTCATATGATACTTAGCTTGGGAGACGATACTAGCTGGCATGGCTAGTAAGAGCTGAAGCAAAAGGCGAGCTGCCACGTCCCCGGTTGGCAGCGCAATGCGATGATCCGGGGTTACCTGCAGGACGGCGCCGCCCGCCCGCAAGATCAAGGTCTTCTCTGCCCGGTGGAGTTCTGGAACCTTTCGCACCTTGGCGGGACTGGTTTAGGGTTTAGGGTTAAGGGTTTAGGGTCCCCCCAAAAAAGGATTTCTTTAGACGCGCACCTAGCGAATGAGGAGACGGATGAAGTCCTGGCTCGAACCGTTGATCCGGCCAGACTTCGTAGGAAGCTGGCGCTTAGAAACATGCGACAACATCGTAAAGCAGGAAAGTGACGCGGATCGCGCTGCCGTCGGCCGCCGTGATCTTGCAGCCTTCGTAAAGGTCGAAGCCCTGTATGTACGTTCGCTTGTCCTCTGCGAGGAAAAGAGACTCTTGGAGGTAGCAGCAGGGCTCCGGGCTGTCAGTGCCGCCTGGGGATTGTTCCACATGTCTTGATTACATTGAGCTCTTGCGGTAACAACCCACTAACTACAAGAAGGCTGAGTTTACCCCAAAATGTGAAACAACTCAACCTCACCTGCAGAGATCTTTGAGGAGTTCGCCACCAGTGCTTCAGCTGTGCTTACTTCCATCCAGGAGGTATGACTCCAAACCTCGCTGGCATCGTCAGCCGCCCGCGTCGCGAGCTGCTCGGCCGGATGTGTTGCGCCCTCCTTAACCGCACCCGCAGCGCTTGCTTCCTGCTTCCTGAGGCCTAGCTGACCCTCCTTCATGACATCCAGGTGCTCCCGCATGAGTTCCTTGAACTCTCGCAAGGCTTCAGCCAGCTGATCCGCCAGCTGCGTCACAATCTGCTCGGCTCTATGTGTTGCGCCCACAGCCCCACTTGGAGCATTTGCGGCCTGCTCGCTCCGATCCTTCATGGCATCCAGCTCCTCGACCATGTCTTCATTCGGCTGATGTAGCACTTTGCCCTGTTCCCGGGCTCGTCTCTTGGAGCACCCCACTGTCACCCCCCAGAAGCAGAAGAGCAGCAACAGGAAAGAGATCAGAAGTTGCCAGGGTCGCCAGTCCGCGGTCTCGTGGAGTTGAGAGTCTTGCGTGGCTTTCGTTCCTCTGGCCTCGGCGTTCTCCACTCTTGCCTGGCTCTCCTTGAGAAGCTGCTCTGCTCTCTTCACAGATGCCTCGAACCTGCTCAAGGCTTCCTGGGCTGTTGCCTGGCACTCCTCGAGACGCCTCTGCGCCCCTTCGGCCGTGGCCTCGGCCTCGGCCTTCTTCGCCTCCTCCCGGGCCTGGGCCTCGGCTCGCCGCGCCTCGAACTGCCGCTGTGCCCGGACCTTCTCCGCGCTCGCGCGCTGCTCTGCACAGACCCCCTTCTGCTGCTCCATCTCGGAGCGCACGGCCGCGGCCCAATGGTTACTCATGGCCCAAAGAGCTTGTCTGTAATTATCCACCTTTGGAGGCCCAACGAGCCGAAATGTTGCATACACAGCCTGCAGGATGCAGACTGCAGCCACTGCTGACTGTCGGGGCCAGCACTTACTGTCGGCCTCACGCAAATCCTCCGTGCAGTCGTATTTCTTTATAAGCTCTGTCGTCGGATGGGTTGCATCGTGAAAGTGATCTTTGAAGGCTTGGATGTGATTTATCATGTGTCGCACGTCCTTTTCCCAGCTGCCGTCCGCAAAGTCGCACCGGCACACCTCGGTCTCCCCGGACACGGGCTCCAGGAGCACCGCCGCAGCCACGAAGAGCCAAAGCGCCCCGCCGAATTTCCCAAGTCTTCTCTGTGAAGCCCCCTGGACTCCCAGCACGTCCATGGCGCTTTGCATGCCGCTTTTTTTCGGAAAGCCGGGCTTTGGCTACTGACTGCTGGGGTGCTGCACAGAGAGGACAAGCTGCAGATACTGGGGTGGTTTAGGTCCAGTTTAGGTTTCAGAGGGATTTGTAGAGCTTTAGGCTTTAGGTAGTTCGCCCTCGCCTTCCCTTGACAACCGAAAACATGGAACTGACCGCTGCAGGGCTTTGGCCCTGTCGGGGCTATGTTTAGGTCTTAGGATTTGGCAGGGTGTTTGGAAGGCTGAGAGTGGAAGGATCTGAGGCCAATGGGGGGAAGTTACGAAGTACCGGTGCCATGGCTGTTCAGCTCCATCAAGTTTTGGCTGTTGGGTAACTAGTCACGACACCAGCCAGCAGAAGAAAACCGAGCTTTGCTTAGAACCTACAAACCCTAAACCCTAAACCCTACAAATGCGCTGGCTCACTCTGAAGCAGATGGGCCCTTGGGTTGAGGGAACACATTAGCGTTTCCGAAACCTCCCCGCATGAACGTTAGCACGCGGGTTTAGGGTTTAGGGTTTAGGGTTTAGGACAGCGCCCATGCTGCAATGAAAGCCAACCCTACGATGCGGAGGCGTAGCCATTATCTGCAAGGCCCCCGGCGCGAGCGGCGGGGAAGCTGCAGCAGCCCGGAGAAGAAGCACAGCTTTCAAAAACAGGCGAACTCTTGCCAAGTTTTGGTTTAGGGTTTAGGGTTTAGGGTTTAGGGTTTAGGGTTTAGGGTATAGGGTTTAGGCTTTAGGCTTTAGGGTTTGGGGTTTTGCTCCTATATTCATTAGTCGTGCTGCTGCTGTCAGTAAGTGCTCAAACAGGTCATGACGGAGCTCTTAACTTCTTCTAGGCCCAGGAGTAAAACTTGTACCCTTTCTAGTTTAACGGGGCTTTATAAGAAAACCTAAACCCTAAAAAACGGGAGTAGGGGCCTACTCTGGGTCTTAGTCTTGATGAGGAGACTCAAGAAGACTGGTTTTCTGCCTTGAGACAGGCGTCGGCATCAGAATGAAGCATCATGGACCCTCTCTCTGACCATGCTTAACGGTGCCAACGATTGCAGTGTGCAGTCGTACGTACAGTTTACAGCATTCACAAATTATGCCAACGTAGACCCCAAACAGCGAAAGCCCACGCGCCATGCACCCACCCAAGATGCCAGGGCCACCACGACGACCACGACCAGTAGGACGACCAGGACGACCAGAGCCACTAGGACTCCAGCAACCATAACGACCATGACGACCACGACCACAATCACCACGACGACCAGGACCCGGGCCCGGACGGAAGGCATCACCCCAAAAAGCCCCCCCTGCCACTGGTGAGATTATAGGGGATCGTACCGACGAGCACGAGGAGCCTCATAGTGTAGCTCTGCTAGGACGGTTAATTCTTAGGGGTCCCTAAACCCTAAACCCTATATAAACCCTATAAGCCCTAAACCCTAAACAAGGGCAATCCTAGAGTTGCGGGTGCTTAGGGGGAAGAGCACCCCCCCCCCCCCCCAAGCCCAAAACTCTGCACCCTAAACCTCAACCCCCTTTAAAATAGCGATATCACTAGGGCGTTAAGGGCTTCTCGGGTTTTTGGAGGAGGGTTCAGGTTCGGGTTCAGACCCGAGCCCTAAACCCTAAACCCTAAACCCTCAATTCCAAACCACAAATCATGAGAGGCCCGATAGACTCTAAGTCCTAAACTATGCAAGCCGCCCAATTATGGCCCAAAGCTCACGGGTTTAGGTTTCAGAGCTTTTCCTAAACTCCTAGAAGCCCCCAGATGAACCTCCAAACCCTTAACCCTAAACCCTCTACCCTAAACCCTAAGCTCTGAACCCTAAACCCTAAACCCATTACCCTATACCTTAGTAGCCGTTCGGGACGTGACGCGGGACGCGCGTCTGGGGACGCGGTCCGGGACGTGGCCGCTGACCCTCCTCAGGACGCAGCCTGCTCCAGGTCTATAGAAAGCGATGCGGCGCTCGCGTGCGTTTCCAGGGGGTGGGAAAACGCACGTGTACTTGTGTTTTGAGTTCAGGGTTTCGGGGCTCGTCCCACAGTTCCCTCCCCTCCCTTTCCCTCCAATGACCCTTAGCTGTGTCCAAAAAGGCTCTGTGCATTTCGGGGGGCCTGGAAAATGCACGGGAGCTTTTGGTTTCCGGGTTCAGGGTTTGGGGCTTCGGGCCTCGAGGTTTTTGCACAGAGTGACTCCTGCCTAGCCCCCCAGGAACTTTCTAGGGAACCTCATGAGGACCCTTCCAGCTCTGCACTGTCCAAAAAGGCTCTGTGCGTTTCGCGATTTGCATTTTCCGAGGCTTTTGCACTGAGTGATTCCTGCCTAAGCCACAAACCCCTAAGGAACCTCATGAGTCATGAGGTCACCTTGCAGAAGGCTCTGTATTGTCCAAGAAGGCTCTGTGCGTTTTGGGGGGCCTGGAAAATGCACGGGAGCTTTCGGGTTCAGGGTTCGGGTTGAGGGCCGAAAGGACTGCGTGCGTTTTCCGAGATTTTTGCACTACGTGATTTCCCCAAAACCCCAAAGGAACCTCATGAGGACACCTGCCAGAAGGTTCTGCGCTGTCCAAGAAGGCTCTGTGCGTTTTGGGGGGCCTGGAAAATGCACGGGAGCTTTCGGGCTTGGGGCCGCAGAGGACGGTCCCGGTGTGACTTTCCGAGGTTTTCGGCCCCCCAGGAACCCCCAAAGAACCTCGTGAGGCCCATGCAGAAGGCTCTGCATTGTCCGCAAAAGCTCTGTGCGTTTTAGGAGGCCTGGAAAATGCACGGAGCTTTCGGGTTCAGGGTGCAGGGTTTCGGGTGTGCGTTCTTACAGGGCCTGAAAACGCATGGGGACATTCCCTTTCTGTGCAGAGTTGCTCTTGATTTCAGGACGTGCGTGCTGAAGACGCAAGTTTCTAGGACACGCGTGCTGGACGCCGGGACGCGCGTCCCGAGGCAGCTAAGCCCTATACCCTAAGGTCAGAAAAGCCAAGCCAATCGTCGCGTTTTTGTGCCGGCCGCAGAGGACGGGTAGAACGGTCGGTGAAACTCCGCGGGTGTGGCTGGTCAGCCAAGGTTGGGGTTTCAGGATTTAGGGTTTAGGGTTTAGGGCTCAGGGTTTAATTCGGGTTCAGGGTTTAAGTGTTTAAGGGTTTAAGGGTTTTAGGGTTTAAGGGTTTAAGGGTTTAAGGGCTTAAGGGTTTCAGGGTTTAGGGATTAAGGCTTGAGGGTTTCGGCATTGAGGGAGGCTTCTAGGGTCTCATTAGGCTTTGCAGAGGCTTTGGTCAAAGGTTTGCGCCGGCTGTCGTACATCTCCACAAAGCAAACAACCAGACAAATTCCGCCCTGAAACCTAAACCCTAAAACCTAAACCCTGAACCGTTTCAAACCCTAAACCCTAAACCCTAAACCCTAAACCCTAAACCCTAAACCCTAAACCCTAAACCCTAAACCCTAAACCCTAAACCCTAAACCCTAAACCCTAAACCCTAAACCCTAAACCTACAAACCCTAAACCCTTTCTTGACGGTTTATTCAGGGCGAGGTCCATGTGCCGACCCTCCAGGTGGTTGCCGAGCCCACTAAACTCGATGAGCACCAAGAGGACCCCGAAATTCAGGAGTGGCGTCGGGAGTTTAGAGTTCAGGGATAGGCGTTTAGGGCCGTTTAGGGTTTGGGGTTTAGGGTTTAGGGTTTAGGGTTTAGGGTTTAGGGTTTAGGGTTTACACTTTAAGCAGGATTGATGGAGGTTGCTCCCCAAATCGCGACCCCTTGTGGCAATCTTTTAGGGTTTAGGGTGCCAAGCTTGAAGCTTGGAGGTCTGCTCTGGTGGTCCTCTTATCTCATCAGGAAAAGTGAGGGGGGAAATGGCTACTTGCCCTAAACCCTAAACCCTAAACCCTAAACCCTAAACCCTAAACCCTAAACCCTAAACCCTAAACCCTAAACCCTAAACCCTAAACCGCAAAGCACCCAGCGTCCCTGACCCAACAACTTGGAGCTGAAGCTTCGGGACCCTGAGCCCTAAACCCTATAGGTTTAGGGTTTAGGGTTTAGGGTTTAGGGTTTAGGGTTTAGGGATTAGGGAACTTTGTGAGGAGGTCCAACCACGAACGGCGTTTCACCAGTAGTTGCACTTGTTGTCCACATTTCCTGCCGGCCAGCACTCAACAGCGCTTTCCATGAGTCAGCTCTAAACCCTAAACCCTAAACCCTAAACCCTAAACCCTAAACCCTAAACCCTAAACCCTAAACCCTAAACCCTAAACCCTAAACCCTAAACCCTAAACCCTCAGCAGTCGAGATTCTGCGGTTTAGGGTTTAGGGCTTTGGCGGGTTTATATAGGGGGTTTAGGTCTGAGGGGAGCAGGTAACCCAATGTCCCCTAATCTTCCCTAGCCCTGGGCTCCCTGCAAGGGGTGGGTGCTAAGGACTTGGGGCCTTAGGGTTTATGGCTTTCTGCAGTAGAGGGTGCGCAGGAACAGCCGCTTCAGTTTTTTTTTTGCTTGACCCGAACCTCCGAAACCCAAAAACACCACAACTGAAGCACCGGGAACTAGGGTTTAGGGTTGAGGAAGATACTTGGACCAAATCTAGATGGCTTCGGGACATCGATTCAGAACTAAATCGTAAGAAAATGGTTTAGGGTTTAGGGATTAGGGTTTAGGGTTTAGGGTTTAGTGTTTAGTGTACTTGTGCCCTATAAACGCCCCAAAATTGAAGCTTCTTGGACCCTCAACTTGAAAGCAAAAAACCCAGCAACCTGCCACCTGCAGCCCGCAACCTGAAACCCTAAACCCTAAACCCTAAACCCTAAACCCTAAGCCCTAAGCCCTAAGCCCTAAGCCCTAAGCCCTAAGCCCTAAGCCCTAAGCCCTAAGCCCTAAACCCTAAACCCTAAACCCAAACCGCCAACCCCTCCCCCCCCTCCCCTCCCAGGCTGCACTCCTGGACAGCTGAAGCCTGCATGTGAGAGGCTCAGGGTAGGTAAAGAACTGAAGTGTCGA